GGGCAGGGACACCTCCCACTAGCCCAGGTTGCTCCAAGCCAGCCAACCTGACCTGGAACACTTCCAGGGAACTGTTATAAGCTCCTTGTTTCCAATCAAACACAACTTCTCCCAAGCTTTCACCCCGGGAGCTTTTCTGTCCTTTTCAAACCAGGTGAAGGATTGATTATGTTGGAGATCTGTTTTCCCGGAAAAGTCTTCCTGGAGGAGGCTGATTGTTGTCCCCAGATGATGTCATTGCTGTCCATGCCTGTGAACCAGAAACTGTTGATTAAGCACTGCATTGTTCAGGGGAGCATCACACTTGTTTCACAGAATCATTAGAGCTGCAGCAGTGTTAGGGGTTAATGGGTTAATTACTCCCTTTACTGGAATGTGTGGCCTTGCTTGTTCCCAGCTGACCTGCTCCACTCTTTGGAGTGAGGGGCCAGGCACGTTCCAGTTTGCTCCAGTCTGAATTCAGCTGTCAGCCAGCCTGCTCATGCACAATTGATTTTTGTGATGTGTCCCCACTAAGCAGAGAGCACAGACCTGCATCTTAGTGTGCTCAGCTCCATGTATCCATGGGGAAATGCTCCCTGGGACCTGGGAGAAGGCATGGCCTGTGCAAGCTCACTCACCTCTCTGCAAGTGCAAAATATCAGTGACAACCAACCTGCTGAGCCTTAGCAAACCCTCAGTGCTGGGCCATGTGCAGGGGAGCAGGAGGGTGTTACCTCAACTGATGAGTCAAAAGAGAGGGACATAGAATCATAGCATGTTAAAGGGTGGGAATGGAGCTTAGAGATGATCCAGCCCCAACCCCCTGCCCTGGGCAGGGACACCTCCCACCAGAGCAGGTTGCTCAAGGCTTTAGCCAACCTGGCTGTGAACACTGCCAGGGTTGGGGCAGACACAGCCTCCCTGGGCAACCAGGGACAGTGTCTCTCCACCCTCACAGCAAAAACTTCTGCTTAAGATCTAACCTAAATTCCTCCTCTTTCAATTTCTCCCCATTACCCCTTGTCCTGTCCCTGCAGCTCTTAACACAGAGTCCCTCTGCAGCTTCCCTGGAGCCCCTTCAGCTCCTGGCAGGTTGCTCTGAGGTCTCCACACAACCTTCTCTTCTCCAGGCTGAACAGCCCCAACTCTCTAAGTGCTCGAGTGCTCTGATCAGCTTTGTGGCCTCCTCTGGCCTTGCTCCAACAGTTCCGTGTCCTTCTGATGTTTGGGACACCAGAGCTGTGTGCAGGACTTGAGGTGGGTCTCACCAGAGCAGAGCAGATGAGGAGAATCAGGAGGGACAGGCTCCAGCAGTGGCCCACAGGAACCTTGTGGGGTTCAACAAGTCCAAGGTGTTGCACATGGGTTGGGGCAATCCCACACATGAGCACAGGATGGGAGAGGAACTCATGGAGAGCATCCCTGGGAGGAGGACTTGGGGGTTCCTGTGGATGAGAGGCTGGACATGAGCTGGTCATGTGTGCACACAGCCCAAAGCCCAGCCACGTCCTGGGCTGCATCCAAAGAGTGGCAGCAGGTCGAGGGAGGGGATTCTCCCTTCTGTTCTGCTCTGGAGGGACTTTACCTGCAGTGCTGCCTCCAGCTCTGGGGTCCCAGCACAGGAGGGACATGGAGCTGCTGGAGCAAAGTCCAGAGGAACCCATGGAGATGCTCCGAGGGCTGGAGAACCTCTGCTCTAGAGCCAAGCTGGGAGAGCTGAGGGTGTTCAGCTTGGAGAAGAGAAAGCTCCAGGGTGACCTTTGAGCCCCTTCCAGTGCCTAAAGGGACTCCAAGAGAGCTGCAGAGGGATTTGGGATGAGGGCACACCACCCTTGCTCACACCACCACAGGGTTTTGTTGATTCTGTTGTAGTTAATAACCCTTGTGCTTCAGTTCTCCAGGGAAGATCTGGAGAGGGAAGCACCATCACCTGGGGGAGTCGCAGGAGATCTGGATGAGGCTCCACAGAGGCTGATGTTGTCCCAGGATGAGATCCAGAGGCTGACAGAAGGGCTGGATGCACCAGGCCAGGAGCAGAGTGGAGTAGGTAAGTGCTTCTCTTGTGGCCCCTCCAGGCCTGCTGTTAGCCCACCCTGGTTAGTGTGAGCCTGGGCAGGCTGGAGGCAGCCTGTCCTGTGTCCTCTCTGCTAGGAACGTGGGACAGTCAGTGCCAGGGGTTAGCTAGGGCACCGATGAGGTGGGAATGCAGTCCTTGCCAGTGACAAATCTGTTGATCCTGAAGTGGGCTTCTTTGGTCCATGAGTCCAGCAGCAGGGGCTGTACAGAATTCTTCTCCCTGGCTGCTCTGCAGGGAGAAATTCCTGCCCTAGGAGGGGATGGAGAGGGAAGCACAACTTGGTACAGGAAGAGAGTAGCTGAAATACTGTGTGCACAGGGTGAGGAGAGCTGGACCTCTCATCCCAAGGCTCTCCAGCTGCAGTTTGGGATAATGCTCCCTGGGAGCCCTCAGCAAGTGCAGCAGTGAAGGGACTGGTTAGAATGTCCTCACTGATAATACTCCCTTCACCTCCTTGAAATAACTATTGTTGTCCTGCTCTGAAGTGTTTCCTCATTGCTACAAGGAAGAGTTTCCTGGAGGAAAATCAAATCCCTGGGCAAAGCTCCTCTGGGAGTGCTCCAGGTGCTTTGCTGCTCCCTCCTACAGGAGATGTCCTGAGCAGCACTCAGGGGTCTGGATGCTGGTTTTGGGTTCCTTACCTTGTCCCCAAGTTTGTGATGCAGAGTTTCAGTGGAGAGCAGCACACTGGGATGAGGTGACACATCCCAGCTGTCCCTGGTTCTCACACCAGCCCCACCTGCCTCTGCAGGGACCAGCCAGGGCACTGGGACCAGCTGGGTCGGGTTTGTGGAGGAGTCACAGGCCCTCGTGCTGTGTGTGAGCTGTGAGGGCAGCATCAGGTGCTGGCAGTTCCTGCCCAGCCCTGGCAGCTCCTGGCAAGTTCTGGCAGCTTCTGGTTAGTCCTGGCAACTCCTGGCTAGCTCTGGTACCTCCTGGGCAGCTGTGGCAGCTCCTAGCCAGCCTCCAGCCCCATCATTCCCAGCCTTTTAGTGCCAGGCAGGGAAAGGAGCTCTGTGCTGTGTGCTGATCGATCCGTGTGTCCCTGGGGATGGGCTGAGTGTTGTGTGGCAGCTGCAAACGGCTCTGCTGCTCTGGAGCACGGACAGGCTGCAGTGGGACTCTCCTGGATCACAGCCTGCCCAGGGAGATCTGTGGCTTAGGATCTTCTGAAGTGTCAGATGACTAGAAGGCTCTGCTAACCGTGAGTGAAGGGTTTAATGCTGGTTCTGTCTGGGGGTTTGTTGTGCTGTGTGTGCAAAAGGAGTGGGACAATGTCTCAGTGGCTTCCCCTGTGCTGGATCTCCTCAGGGCTTGTCCTCCTGAGGATTTCAGAGCCACCTGGTCCAGGGATCAATTGGTTTGCTAACAAACACCCCAAGGGAAATCTGTGATCTTCAGTAAAACCCCCTCAGACAGGGAGTTTGGGTTCAGGGATAGCTCCCAGCTGCTTGTTTGCACTGAAGGGAAGAGCCAGGGTTGCTCCTGGGCAGTTTGAGCCCAGTCAGGGCATTTGGTGGGGAGAGCTTGGAGTTTGTCTTTAACAAGATTATAAAAACTGTTTAGTGTTCAGAAGAAATGAGCTGCCACAGCCAAACTCTCTGTCCTTGTAGGATCAGCCCCATGGTCGGCCCTGCAGGTAGCTGAGGGGGAGAAGGGGGAAGGAATGGGGAGAGAGGGACAAGTCAGGCTGTTGGCAAGGGGAGAAGAGGTCTAGAAAACATGTGGTGTGAGGAAGGGCTGCGGGAGTTGGGCTTGGTTAGCCTGGAGAAGAGGCTCAGGGGTGACCTCATGGCTCTCTACAACTCCCTGACAGGGTTGGAGAGAGGTGGGGGATGTCTGTCCTGCCAGGGCTGCAGGGAGAGGACTGGAGGGAATGGCCTTGAGCTGAGCCAGGGCAGAGTCAGAGGAGATGGTAGGAGAAATGTTTTCCCTGTGAGGGTGTTCAGGCACTGGAATATTGCCCAGGGAGGTGGTGGAGTCACCACCCCTGGAGGTGTTTGAGAGGTGTCTGGATCTGGTGCTGGAGGATCTGGTTTAGGTTTAGGGGTTGCCAGCAGTGACAGGTTAATGGTTGGACTTGCTGCTCTTAGAGATCTCCTCCAACCCTGATGATTCTATGAGCTGGAATTTTATCATCAAGGCTCTGTGTAGTGGCCAAGAGGCTTTTCAGTCAAACACACACTGTGGTGCAAGGTGTTCCTTGCCTTTTCTTTGAAATAACATAGCTGAAAATCCACTGTCAAGATCCTGGTTTGGAATAGGACTGGGGTTGTGGCTTGAGGTTTTTATCCCAGATTGGGTCCAAGTAAGAAGATATGTTTTTATTTTTGTCTGAACAAAAGTCAGATTGAAGCTGAAATTTCCTATGCCCAGAGTTAAGCTGAAAAGGGGAAAATTTTGTGAGGAGAATTCTTTCCTCCCTGGTTGTTGTGAGGATCCCAATGTGTTCCCAACACAGCTCTGTCCGTGTGCTCCTGCTGCAAACACCTTTGCCTGGCTTTGCTGTGGAAATGCCTGGAGTCTGCATCAATTGCTGTTGTGATTGCATTTGTTTATTGATTCGGCCTTGAAGGATTGGTGTGCAACCATCATTTTCCTGTCCTGGCCATTCCCCAAGCTTTGCTGCTTGGCCAACAGGGATGCACTGACTGTGGTTGTGTTTGTGCTTGTAGCAGTGAGGAATGCTCTGATGGAATCAGAAATGTGCTGTTGGGGTTTCCCAAAGTTTTCCTTGCCATGTGGGAGACCCAGGGCTATGTGCCATGAGGGGTTCTCCATGATCCCTGGAATAACTATGGAGAGACTGCTGGGTAAGGAACACAGCACTGCTGTTGGACCTCCAGGAGCATCAACCTCTGCTCTGTGAGTAAGAGGAGGTGTTCCATGGACATGTACTTGCTGTGGCACACCTGCACCTGTGAGTAAGGGCAGCCTCATCCCCCTGAGGGCCAGAGCAGTGACCTGTGTGTGCTGTGCTGTTTCAGGCAGGCCTGAGCTGCAGGAGGCCATGGAGCACAACGCTCGGCTGGACAAGGAGATCCAGGCACTGCGGGCACGGGTGCACACCCTCGACCTGGAGAGGAAAGCATTCCTGGACCTGGTGAGCTCCCACCTACAGGCTGGGCAGGGAAGTCACTGAGAGCAGCCCTGGGAGAAGGACTTGGGGGTGATGGTGATGAGAAACCCCATGAGCTCAGTGTGAGCTCAGCCCAGGAACCACCCAAGGCCTGGGCTGCAGCCAAAGGAGAGGGGCAGGCGGCGGACGGGGGAACCTTT